TTAATGAACATAACACATTTCGGTATTATTTTCAAATCTACAAAGTTTATTTTATATAACAGGTCAAAAAATGCGTCACAGTCGCATACTAAAATGTCAAAAATTTACCTAATTCCTACTCAACATATTGAAAATTCCGAGTAGGTAGTCTAATGTTAATTAGGCTAAATATTGAACGATCTGCTAGTTTCCTGAGTTAGATGTTTAGATAATATTAACTATTAATCACAGATACGATGTAAGGTATGGAGGTAGAGTTTGTGCAGAGGCAGGAAGCAGTACAGTCGAAAATGGGTAGGTACAGAATTTCCATATAAATTTCATGTAAAAGCTCAAAGTATATTAGCGCTTTTCGCTAACCAACCACTAAGGATAGTTTATGCTATTTCAGATGGTGCATTTTTATATATATAGAATTTTTAATTTTAAATGTAAAACACGGACATCTTGGCTATTTAATGAATACTGTTAACTTAATTAGCGGAGAACAACATAGACTGATTTCAAAGTTCATTTTCCTGTATAATAAGTGCCATTTAGAATTTATATGCCATATTATTGTTTGCCATAGCAGGTGTTATATCCACTGATAGCGGCCATCTTTATTTATTCGCATAACAATGAATTTTAATCACTCAAAGACTTACGATAAGGTACATAGCGACATATCATTGAAACAACGTCAAGTAAAAAAGTTGAAACTGGTTATTTTTTATTATTATGCTTTTTTAAAAAGTAAGTGATAAAAACCTATACACGTTGTAATGAAATATAGATAACTTCATAATTCTTCGGATTTACGTAAAAGGTTATTTTATATCGTGTGAGTACGTTTGTGTAAAGTTATTGCGGAACGATTAATGTTGAACGTCAAAAGGTTTTTCTTAGATTCAGTTGACTATAGTTGTGAACAATATTTCTATAAAAGTTGTGTATTACGTATGTGCCGTAGCATGTTTGGCGACGCCTCTGTAGCTAGCCAGAGAGCCTGCTTGTAAACAAAACGTGTACCGCACACCTGTGCGTTACATTTGCAGTGGCGCTCGTGTGGCTACTTATTTTGCTTGTATAAAACGGACGGAGCGGACACCGTTAATTCGTGCTAACGAAATTTATTATTATATTAAATTTATTATTATACGAAAATTATTATTCTTAATATATATATATATATCCTACATCCGAAGTAGGATTAAGGCTTAATACCCTCTAATCGTAATACCTTCCTTCATATACACGAAAGGATCAAAACCAGACAGTCTTTCTTTTCAACAAGTAATCACGACTATGTCACATCAATTCATCATGGATAAAAGCGAAGACAGCAATTTTAAAATTGTGTTTACAAGACACTACATCATTCGACCCTTCTGCTTGTTCATTATCTTAACCGCCTATAAATGTATATTTTAATAATATTACATATTATTTTTTATTTTGCCTTATCTGAAACATTCCAAACTGTAATGAAATGACTGACGATCACTGGAACATTTTATATAGGTGCTAAGATATTTGACGTTTTTGTGAAACGTTCCGTATTCGAATATGTAAGTATATACGTGTTAGAGCCATGGTGCAGCTATATCATGGTTGTAGCACAAATGGGTCAGCTCGACTGAGGTAGGACCACGCTCTCACAAAATAGCAGCTTAATGTTTAGTTTTTCGTATGGTGAGTGTAGAGAACAGTGACCCTTTTTACTGGATAGGATCTTTCATCAACATGTATCATATGTTACAAACAGTGGTAGAGTCACGTGGCAGCTTTTGCTGTCACATGGATGGGCTGGCTTGAAGCGGGGTGGTACCACGACCTTACAGAAAACCAGCGAGAAGTAGAGATTTACCTCTGCGTTCGGTTTGGTGAGTTCAGATCGCCAGAGGCCCAATCCCCCATTAACATGGTAGCGAAATCAATCAAAAAACTATCCTAGGAGAGCACCAACACCCCTGGTGATGAAAAATCCCTTGCTGAGCATCCACGACCAAGTTATCCTACTCCTATTGCTCGTGGGTGCTCAGGCTACCCCGCGTATTCTGGGGGGAAGGGGGCACAATTCTACCTGCGACTAAAACTGCTCGGGGTAAGCGGATCAACAACACTAAGACTGCCATGATATCCATGACTTTTTGCAACATCAGGGGACTTAATTCCAACCTTAACGCTGTTCACTACCATCTGGAGATAGCGAAGCCGGCCTTGCTCTTTTTAACCCTTCAAGTGCCATAAAAATCCCAGATCCCACAGGCTCCCGGCAACACACGCCAAATGGCTTGGTTCACGTTTAATTCTTCATGCGGAGAGATCTTTTAATGACTTTGCCTTGGCATATGGTCTGACACAACTGGTTACATCGTCTACGCGGATTCCAGATGTGGAAAATCATATATCTTCCCTGTTGTAACTACTGCTGACCTCTCATTCGGACGGATATCAGGTTCCGTCGACGCCACTCTAAGTTTGTTAGACCATTGTCTTAGCCGGAGTGCGGTACCAGTCACATTAACGTCAAGCTTACATTCTGCAGGCTGCCACCGTGTTTAGCGGCTGATTGTGATAGGATGCGTTTTTTTGCATCCTGCCCTTGTAGGTAAGTTTGTTCCTCGCCGAACGATCCCAGCATTGTTGCTGATTCTGTAGCGGACCTGGTACTTCAGGGTATGGAACTTTTTATTCCACCTTCTGTGGTGATCCATCGGAGGCAGATCTTAGCCGTGGTTTGGTCGACCCTATAAAATAACATCACGCTATAGGCAGGAGTGCTACCGGGCCTAGGCTGACGCATCAACGTCATGGGATGTAAGCACCGAACACATCGACAGAATTGTCGAAAAACTAGTTCACCTTTCTTCGAGAACCCGTGCATTTCTGTCTCTCTGAAAAACTGTCCAAGGGAACTTCTGTCAGTCATCTCATTCATCTCTGGACAGAGAGGACGACTGGCCCATGCCACAAAGGAGAAGGTCGATCTGTTGAGCTCTCTCTTTGCGTCTAACTTGACTCTCGATGATGGTGGGAGCACACCGCAAACCATCCCGCGGTGTAAGTGCTCCATGCCAGATGTGCGGTTGACACAGCGCTGAGTTCACAAAGCACTCCTCTCCCTGGGCGTCAGCAATTCGGGTGGACCTATTGGAGTCCCTCCCATTGGGCTGAAGACGTGAGATCCGGAGTTGGTACCGGTTTTAACGCATCTTTTCCGGTACTCCTACTCCCATGGTGTAGTTACGAATTCATGGAAGACAGCTTTGGTCCACCCGAAACCTAAAAAAGGCGACCGCTCAGAGCCGTCCCACCACAGGCCTATTGCTATTACCTCCCTGTTTTTCAAAACAATTGTAAATTGCCAGCTCATGAGATACTTTGAGGATCACCAGCTGATTAGTGACCGCCAATACGGTTTTCGTCGTGGTCGATCAGCTGGTGATCTTATGGTCTACCTGATTCATATGGGTGGAGGCAGTAGAGTTCAAGGGGAGGAATTAGCCGTAAGTTGGGACGTAGCGAAGGCCTTTGATCTGGTCTGGCACAAAGCGCTTCTTTCGAAGTTTCATTTCTATGGACTTCCCGTGAAATTGTGCAATTGGATCATCAGTTTTCTTGCTGATCGGAGCATTAAGTTCGTAGTAGACGGTGCATGCTCTGAATACAAGGCTATTAACGCTGGTGTGCCACAAGGCTGTCACCAACGCTGTTTCTTCTGCATATCAATGATATGTTGCAAACTGCTAACATTCATAGCTATGCAGACGACAGCACTGGTTACGCTTTATACACCGGCCGTGCCAATATTTCCCAGGAAAACATCGCCGAGTACTGATACAAACTTGTGTCTAAAGTCGAGTTTTTGCTGAACATAGTTTTGGATTGGGGGCGAATAAATCTAGTCCAGTTTAATCCCTAGAAGACATAAGTTTGCGCGTTTATCGCTAAAAAAAACGCTTTATCGCATCTCCTCAGTTTCCAGGAACTACCCTTACTGCCTCAGCTAGCATGGGAAACCACGCCGTCAACATACATTTGCACTTGGAGGGTAAGTCCGAATTTGCCTCTAAAAAGCTTGGCGTGCTCTGCAGAGCAAGACAGCACTTCATGACGGCACATCGCTTGCAACTTTACAAAGCGCAAGGGGGGGCCTCACATGGAATACTGTTCTCATCTCTAGGTCGGACACCTCAGTGTCAGCTTCTTCCACTTGACTGCATCCAGCGCAGAATGGTTCAAATCATCGACGATCGTGTTCTTTTTGATCGACTCGATTCAATGGCACTGCGTAGGGATGTCTTATGCCTTGCGTTTTCTATCGCATCTACTACGTGGAGTGTTCTGAGAAATTGTTAAAATTAGTTCCAGCTGCCAATTTTCCGAACGGATAACGCATTAAAATTCACGATACCATCCTCACCAACTGGATGCTTGGCGATCTACCACTGTGCGTTTTACTAGGAGTTTTCTTCCTCGTACAACTTCTCTGTAGTTCATTGTTTACCACCGGCGATATTTCCGAACTGATACGACTTAGGGACTTTCAAGAAAAAAGCTTAATCCTTTCTAAACGATCGGCAAAGCAACTGCAATTCCTCTGGTGTTGCGGTTGTTAATTCATGGGCGGCGGTAGTCACTTATGTGAGCCGCATGCTCGTTTGCCCCTCTTCTATAAAAATATGCATTTGGATTATTAATCGAGGATAAATGTAGATGATTATGGGCTACAGTATCCTCTTACCATCAGGCGTAATTAAATATTGCCTACCGGATGCAATTTAAAACTAAACAAACACAAGAATTTCATCACAAAGAATGAATCTAAAAAAAATCAAATTTCAATTGATTTGTTTATATAGAGTTTATGCAGTCGAAGAGAGTTGCTGTTAAAGAAGAGAAATACATCTTCTTCACTTAAAAAAATATAAAAATGTAGTTACGATTACACTAGGCGATTACAAGTATTATGAAACTCAAATTCAGGTTTGAAATGAGGAGACTAAAGTACTTACCGCAATTATCAATCGAAAGTAATTCATAATATCGTCATCAAAACGTTTTCCAACATTCTTTAATAAGTAAATTCTGTAATAGTCATCAGTCATCTTAGGTAAAAAACCATCCCATCTGAAAGTGGATTTTAACCATATTAGTAAGCTTTCGCAATTGCAGACACGCTTCTTCGTCATCAATAAAGAGTTAAACCAAGATATTACCGTAATATACGTATTGTGACTGCGCATTATTATAATTAATAAATAATAATTAAATTATAATAATTAAATTATTATAATATTTTAAACAATTAAAATGCATTTATAAGCATAAAGTTAAAACATAAAGTTATAATAAAGTAGGCTTAATATTGGCTTAAAAAATCAAAAAATATTCAAAATATATTAAATAACAGAAATTCAAGTCAGTTCGAGATTGTATTACAATAAGAAAGATAAAAATTAAATAAAATTGGAAAATTGTTCAAAAAATTTAAAAGTTATTAAGCGTGTTTTTGTAATACTGGGAGAGTGTTCATATAATGATTGCTACAGTATAAGAGAGCTGCCGGAGACACCTACAGTCATACTTATAAACACATCAAACAGAATCTAGGGATAATTTATAATTCATCAATTATCTAAAAATTGAAGAATTTTCAGATATATTAAATGGAAGAATGATAAATTATTATAAGGTTTTTAATAAAAAATAAAACACATATTGTATGATTTTTGTTTTAAATAAAGATAATAATTATTTTGATCGCCGTAGAAAATCAGTATGATAAAAAAGTCATGTCTCCAAAACTAATATAATGATGAAAATAAAAAAAATCTTATTAAAAACTAATCGTCTAATTGTCTAATTAAATCTAATCAGTTTTACCACCTCCTACATAAATTACACATTAGCATCAATTGTTTTTACTCAAAAAAATTTCACATTGTCAATGTCTTGCTGTATGAGGTCCCATGTTCTTTGCAATTGTTCGTAAAGTTGTTCTTTCGTCATATTTGGCGGGAAATCTCTCAAAGCTTTTCGTTGTAACATGTCCCAAGCATGCTCGATAGGATTTAAGTGGGGCTACTGTGCAGGCCAATCCAAAACTTGATTATCGTGGTCTCGGAGAGCTACCGACACCAGCTACGCCGTATGGAAAGGAACATTATCGTGCATAAGTAGAAATTCCTGGCCTGTTTGGATTCTGTGTGGAAAAATAACAGGCTCTACTACCTCCCCGTGGTATATTTGTGCAGTCATGCTACCTTGGATCCAACGAGCTGGGTTGGTACGCCAAGAATAATTCCTGATTCACCATGATTGTCCCACCTTGGTATGAGTGGACCTCTTCTGGTGGTCCTCCCAGAGTCTTTGTAGTAGTTGCATCGCTGTGATATTGGGTTGTGTTGATATTGTGATATGGGTTGTCTCTTGGCGTTGACGTAATCAATTTACTAAAAATTTTGCCGCCGTATTTTGTTTTCGTTTTGTTTCTTTTTTTACATTCCTAAATTTTGAAAATAGAATAAAAGAAATCTGTTTATCTATTTATGGACACTAAAACGATTTTAAACTATAAAGTCGTAAATAATTTAGGATTTAGATATCCCTAGATTCTGTTGATGTTTTTTTTTATAGGATCGGGTGACAAACTAGCACACAGTCCACCTGATGGTAAGTGGTTGCTGTGGCCCATAGACATCTACATCTATCCTCGATTACGAATCAAAATAAGCAGATTGCGTTGTCACCCGTGATGATTCTAAGATGGAATGCCTCGTTTCCAGTAAAAAGGGTCTCCGGTTCTCTGCACTCACTATACGAAATACAGCAGAATTAAGCTACTATTTCACGCTGGTATTCTGTGAGAGTGGTCCTCGGTCGAGACGAATTCGTGTACAACTATATACTAACATAACTGCAGCATGGATATACCACGTAAAAATTTGTTTGATTTATATGTAGTGGCCATGTGACTGACTAGTTGACCAAAGACCAAAGTTTTTTTTATAAAATGAGGGCGGCAAACGAGCACACAGTCGACCTGATAGCAAGAGTATGCTATGGCTCATAGACATCATCTACATCTATCCTCGATTAAGAATCAAAACCCCTGAATACCAAGACGAAATGCCTCGTTTCCATTAATAAAATTCTCCGGTCCTCTACACTCACCATACGAAACACAGCAGCATTGAGCTGCTATTTTACTCTGATATTCTATGAGAGCGTGGTTCTTCCCCGGTTGATCGCTACAGCAGATCCCAAACACAGAGATCGTGACCTTCGGCGATTTTAACACCCACCACACCGAATGACTAGTTATTCATCCTGGGAGCTTTTATCAGGGAACTTTTATAGACCAAAAGGTAGTTATAAAATAGTGACAATCAATACTTACAAAATGTCCGAATACTTGTATTCAGTCTTAAAATCGATAAATTTAAAGAACTGAGGCATCAACGTTCTAAGAGTGCAATTTTTGTCCAATTTTGACTTTGCGCGCTCCACTGAACCCTTGCTGGCAATTATTCTTCTTTCTAAATATTCTCTGGCTGAAACAAACAGGTTATTTAATAAAATATAATGAATCCATGCATTCTCAGTTTCAACAGAGAGAGTGACAATTGTATATTCTATTTTATTCGATTAAAAAGCATTACATTTTTATCAATGTTTCACTACTTTATGATTTTACATTACTGTCACCTTGATTATCAGAAAGGATGTTACTAGTTTGGTAGTAGTATATGCATAGTAATATTAGCTGATTAATTGAATTAGATTAGTAAACCCCAAACAAAATAGAAATTTATAAAGTAAAAACATTTTTAGAAAACTTTACCGATATATCGATATTTTTTATCACTTCCTGTATCCCTAGCGCGTGTCAACTAGATAATATAATAAAACACATACAATTTACAAATATTTTTTTAATTTAATTTAGTTAAATTTATTTATGGTCGAGTTTTTATGGGAGAAAGTCCCGACTTCAAGAGCTAATTAAAAATAAAAAAAATATGGGGAAATCATTTTATTCCTTTAGTAAACTCAAGTCGGATTTACATCTAAACCCCAATGAGTAGGCTAAGTAATATCACAAGGTCAAAGACAACTAGAAAGACGTTAATAGTATATGTACGAATTCCAAAATATAATACATATTATTTTCCCATAAAATAGTAATCATAAACTGATAGATTTGATAAACTTTTATTCTGTTTCATAATGTACTTAACATAATTCATCAAACTAACAATTTCATTGTTGTTGGAGGGATCGAACCCGGGTTTACGCCGAACACTTAGCCCTTGAGCTACCACGGCTCTTATATAGAATAAAACTAACTTTAAGCGTTTTATCGCATTTAATTTTAACTTTTTTAGTTCCCCACGTTTCGGACTCTTTACAGCACCCATGGTCACGTGGAGAGTGAGGTATTTGACGTTCTGATGTCATTGTTAACGAAGGCTATTTTCAACTTTTAATTACTAATTTTTGGTCCGATCTACGCAGAACGAGCTTACTGTACCTTGAAGTCTTGCGGTAGTATATTTGGGTGTCGATTTAATTTTCCACCGACGAAAAAACGGAGTAGGTACTCAAGTTGACGCGTATATTTTTTTATGTATGTCTACGCATAACTTTTTACAGAGTATTCCGATTTTGATAATTCTTTTTTTTTGTTAGATAGGGTATACCACGAAATTCATCCCGTATAAATTTTAAACAAAAAAAATTCTAACCCCAAGGGTGGGAAAATAGGGGTTATTTACTACAGAGTAGTTCAATTTTGATAATTTTTTTATATTAGATAGGTATATCTAGGTAATACCTAGACGTTGGTCCCATATAAATTTGGAAATAAAAATTCACACTAAGGGTGGGAAAATAACAGCGATTTATTACAGAGTAGTCTGATTTTGATAATTCTTTTTTAATGGGATAGGGTATACCTCGAACCTGGTACCATATAAATTTGGAAAAAAAAATTACCTAAGAGCGTGAAAATGAGGTGATTTATTAGAGAGTGGTCCGATTTTGAAAATTCTCTTTTTATTATATGGGTATATCGACGAAAATGGTCTCATATAAACTTGGAAAAAAATTACCCTAAGGGTGGGAAAATAGGGGTGATTCATTGTTTACTCACAGATTTAAATGCTGAGTTGTGTAATACAACATTACATAATATTACAAAAAAACCTCACGATGAATGAGCTTTAGACATTTCAGTCTCTTTTGTGTGGAGTGTAGACCTCTCAGTCTCTCCATTTCTGATAAAGCTCGTTAATCGTGAGGTTTGTTTTATACCTTATTTGGTTCTAGACCAGATAAAACAATACCCACAAGTGTTTTTATTCTACTCAGTGCTACATATGCATGCCCTTTGGCAAACTCTTTCCGAGGTCGACTACAGCTTTAAACAAATAATAATTAAAGTAAGATTATATAAAAGTTATGTAATAGCTAAAGTAAAGTAAGTAGCTATTTTAAAAGTAATCAAAAATTAAGCGTGTAGTAATTAGTTGATATGCCATAAGATATATAAGAACTTAGTTATTAAAGTAAAAGAAAATGGTTTACTATTTATTGCTTTTCAGTTTATTCGGCGGTTTAATTTTTTTGTTTAAATGTTTTTTTATTAACTTAGGATTCCAAGCAGCTCGTAGAAACCAAACCAGTTTTGTTTAAAACTTTTTATATCAAATACAAATATTAAAAAGCAAATATTTTTAAATTTCTAACTTTTTTATTTCTCTCCAAAATTCATTAAAGTTACCAGCATTTCGATGTCGGGCCAACACTTCCATTTTTATTTTGTCCTGATTATTTTGAACGTACTTAAGCGCGGCCTTAAACTCTCTACGCGAGGCAGCCATATTTTCGTAAAAATAGCCCGAAGATAGCCTACCATATTCATTCCACATTAAAACTTTCTCTGGCCTTGACATGGATATACCTGACGTGACAATTCCACCTCACAATCCTTTGCCCTTTTCTTATGTCTTTCATATAAAAGCTACGCTCAGCTGCTACCTGCAATACACTTACAATGTCACAATATAAATCGTCAATATATTTATAATGACACGATTTTTCATACGAATGTTTTACATACATACATTCCATGTTTATATTTTTATAATTACTCATTATATTACAAAGTTTTTCATCACAGATTTTTGAATACATTTTTCTATGTTCAAGCTCCCTACGCCCCCATAAAACCCTTGCATTATTTTTTAGGTTCGACTCATAGTGAATTTCTTTAACTGTAATAAAACTAAGGTTACAATTAATAACTAGAGGTACGTGGTCCGACCAAAATGAGTCATACTTCACATATAGATCGGTTACCATCTTGGCTGCAGCAGCAGTACAGTACAGTGATCAAGCCACCGACATGTGCCGTGTGCCTCACTCACAAATGTGTATGTGTTATAATCTAGTCTCTCTGAATCTATGCATGTTAATGACTGCTCACCAAAATAGTCCACCAGCTCCTTACCAAAAAGAGTACCCGGATGCGCGTTAAAATCATCTAAGATCAAAAACGCATTCAACCTCTGCACTCGCAATCACTGCACTTATATTAGCAAGACACTGAATAAACTCTGATAGGTTATCCTCACAATCAGTAGGCATATATACGCTAAATACAAGAATGCTACGATTACCTTAATCACCTTGATCTTTAATTAAAACTAACCTCACCAATAACTTTGTAAATACCAAATATCCATAATTTGTAAATATATATTATATTCGATTTTTTTCCTTTTTTATTTGCCTAATGATGAATCTTGATGAATTTCCACGTATTTCCAAAGATGCGCCGTACCGGTACGTTACTTTTTGTAGTGTCTTTTTATAACTTATTAGAAACCGCGAAGTCATTTGCTAAAGTAATTCTCCACACTAGGCCACAACTATGTGATTGTTAAAATTTTCAGGAATGTCCTAAGCATACAATAACGCGATTATTCCATATCTTTTTGGCATAGAATAAAGGATACTGTTCGCTATGCCTTTTCAAGAACATAAGTAAACCTCGCGCCGTGCCTGCGCCCGCGCATTTGAGACATCCTGTGCCTTGATCGTCCTTTTGACCGCTGGCGAGATCCGCGTGAGCGACTCCGGGGGCGACACTCAATATTGAACACCGACATAAAACGAACGCTTCCCGTACTTTCTATTGTCTTTTTGTATCGACATCTTAATTTCTACATATTATGTTAATTGGAATCAAATAAACCTATAAATACTACTGTCTACTCGTGAACATGAATCTCTGATTAAGAATCAAAATGGAGATGCGTTGTCACTCCTGAAGACTTCTAAATCAAAAGCAAAGTCAAATCCGCATTTCTATTGCCCTCGCACATATAACGCGAATCTCGTTGGCAGTATGGGTATTTTACTATTTATAATTCGATCTATTAGGAATCGTGACATCTTTCAAGGTTTTCCTATAGCCGTGAACCCTCGTGACCGGTTTTACTGGTTACTTTGCCTTAAAAATATGGCAAAGTGAAGGATTGCACTATGTGTAGTTCTGTAAAGGTACCACAAAAAAGTATATCAATAATATAAGAGAACAGCTAAAATTTTACAACCACACATATAGTGTGAAATAGAAGCATATTGCGTATGGTGAGTGTAGAGAACCGGAAACCCTTTTTATTGGAAACGAGGCATTGCATCTAAGTCCTCACGGGTGACAACGCATCTGCATTTTGATTCGTAATCGAGGATAGATGTAGATGTCTATGGGCCACAGCAACCACTTACCATCAGGTGGACTGTGTGCTCGTTTGTCACCCGATCCTATAAAAAAAGCTGGTGCTACCAGTTTCTCGACTCCACAGAGTCAGTAATTCATTCTTGTGGCAATGTATACGCTATTACAACAAAGTCCCAGAAAATATACAAGGTCTCTCTATTACCAAGTTTAAATATTTAATTAAGCAAAAACTGTATAAAAAGGGTTATTATGATATAAATGAATATATAGTTGATAATAACCCCTGGGAATTAGGTGGTCGCTTCCAAGCTATTTCTAAAATAAATTTTGTAAATATTTTGTGACCCTTGACATTGTAAAATTTATTTTAAAAAAAGTCGCGCTGTGTTTCTTGCTGGTTCTTTCCAGGATAGAGGTTTTTTCGAACCAGTGGTAACGTAAAATATTGACTTTCAATAAGAATTACTTGTAATCTATATTGAATAAAAAATTATTCTATTCTACGGACTAATGAAGATGAAAAAAGTTGCCCGATCCTACGCAAATAGAATTATTGAATTCGTATTTTTATAATATAATTTCACGATTGAAATTACCATTTTTTATTAAAACATAACAGAAAAAGTATTAATAAAATATAATAAAGATAAAAGCTTTTAATAAAAAATAACACATAGGTAGGTATATCGTAATATTTCACTTTGAATAAATATTAACTTAAATTAAAAATAACATGCGCTAAATGAGTACTAATTTAATTAATTCAGTTATAAATTTTTTAAATTATTTCTTAAATATACGCATTTTTAAAATACTTACGATAATCTTTTATTTCGAAATGATTTTGTTTTTGCACCCACTCATGTAAAACGTCGATAGCTTGGTCCATACTACCTGGCTTATCCAAATTATAATCCTTACGAATTGTTTGAAGTGTATCTTTATTGAACTCGAGCAGAGTGTTCATCGGTAACGAATCCATTTTAACCACCTGCTAAAATTGACAGCCGGATCGTCAGAGCGCCAAATAATTACTAAATGAACTTTGCTTTGGGTGTTAAATAATAAATGGAAGTAACTCGAACGCTTTCGTAAAATACAGATATTATACAAGCTGCTTTACCAGACTGATTAACTACACAGATAAAATTATAAAAAAATAAAGTCTTCAACAATTAATTAAAACATTATTAGTTAGGTAACTGCTTTCATTAACTTACGAGTAGTTTCGTTATTTACTAAATTCAAAGCTATAAAGCAACAATATCTATTTGTTAAACAAAATGCAATTTGTATGTAAATGTAACTTTAAGGCTAAATGTGCGAAAGAGGATATTTGCCTAGCCTCGCCATTGCTCGTCGTCGCTCGCCTAGCTGGTCAAGTGCAGGTGAGTGCCAACATGTATACGGTTCGTTTAGCGTGCCGTGTCGAGTGGTGGCACTCGGGATCGCTCTCCGCTCTTCTCACTTCGGAACAGTGTCAGTTTTTCTGCAGACATTAAAAGCGCTCGCCTGCACTCGGCATTTCGTTTTGTTGGTAACTCATTCAAACTTGGCCAACATGTAGTCTGTAGCACTCGCCTTGTATCAATTTGTCTACGCTCGCATTGGCTGAGGTTTGGCCAACATGTAATGCTGGCTTTAAAGTCTACATTCTGGTTGTCGTTCTTGAGCTTGTTTATGTGATTAAGGGCTCAATGCACTCAAATAGCTCAAATTTATAAAATTTAAAAGACTAATAACAATAGAATAATCTGCAAATAAATTAATAGCTTCTGAAGTCGGTACCTTAAATATTCGATACACCGATTTCTGAAGCTTTTGCATATTTAGAAGTTTTGAAATCGTACCATTCTTTTTATTTATTTAAGAGAGGCTTTGCTTTATCAAAGTATAATTATTAAATATATGCCTTTGTTTTATGTTTATTATTATGTTTTCGGCTCATTTGCTAAAGTGAAGTAAATGCTCCCGAGGATGATTTATTAATTTTTAAGTAATTCTATAAATTACTACAGATTGGCCCCATGGCCATCAGTGGATATGTAGGAAGACATTGGTGACGCTAATGATGATGATATGTATTGTACATTTTCAATCTTATTTTTCTATTCTTATAGAAAACATTTTTTCTTAAAATTCTAATATGACGACTTTATTATATCGTCTTTTTCATATCGATTAAATAAAAATAATGATTCACGATCGGCGAAGATATTGCGTAACATAAATACAAAATATACAGTCGAATTAAGAAACTTATATTCTTGTATGATTGACAAGCATTAAGATATATATGTTATATGTATTGATTTAAAATGCCTCACTTACATGTAATTCGTTACTGAAGAATTATTTTATTTTGACTTAAAACATATACACTATATGGTAATAACTTTAAGTGTATCTTTTGAAACTTAGGCTACCGCCCGTCTTCAACTAAGTTAATATTGATTCTGTGGGTGCATGCAAGCTTACGAGCTAAAAACACCTGGTGAAACCTGTTCTGAAAATAAAGTAGTTGGTCATTGGTTGAAATATTTACCAATAATTAATAAAACTAAAAAAAATTAGCTTAAAATTCCTTATTAATATTCTATTTCTATACGGCCCATACGTGCAACTATCTCTACCACTGCTAAAGGGTTTCTTCGGAGTCTCGTGAAATACTTAAGAGACGATAGCAGATTATCCGAAGTTATGACTAGGGAGAGACGTAAAGCCCTAGAATGAAGTGCTAGTTGCGTAAACACTTTCGCGCCTCTCATGTCAGGGGTCCTCGTTTAGCTTTTTTAGCTGGGGCAGCATCACAGGCAACTGAACTAAGTGGCACAAGTATGAGTCTCTGAGAGATAACTAAATATTTGTGCCATTTCGTGTAGAGACTATCGATCCGTGGATTCCACTTGCGGTGAAGTTCATTAAGAAACTGTATCCTCGATTGGTTGTCGCTGCTGGTGACAAGAGGGCTGGTTCATTTCTTGCATAAAAGGCTAAGTAGCAAGCATTCAACGGGGAAAAGCAGTCAGTGTTCTTAGCAATATACCGCTACATTGATTTTTTAATATATACAGGGTGGTCCAAACAGTGAGGTTATAAAATTTTTTTTTGATTCCTCACACCTAGGGGTATCCGATACCGTAAATATACCGTAAATACCCTATGTATGCTACGCGATTTTTTGTAGTTTTCGAGTTATGATTTTTTTTACCCCTTTTTTGAAAATATTCACCCTAAACAACTTAACATTAAAAAAAATGTAATTGTGAAATTTTTTCCAAGTTTTTTTGTTTGTAGCACGATCCTTATGAGTTGCCCTATTATGCATAAAATAATTAGCTTCCTAACATTCACCAAAGATACAATAATTTTAAACGAAAGTTAAAAAAATTCTGTCAGGAGAGTGGGGCTTGAATTTTCAACATTAAATGAAAAATAGTAATAAATGATTTCATACTTTCTAATTAATTTTAAAAACTTGGCAGTACCTTAATCTTTCATAATAAAATTAAAAAAATGACACTTAATAGGCCAGTTTTTCTGTTACAGACTTCTGAAGTTACTCAGGAAGGAAACTACCTAAATAGTTAATTTGATTTAAAAAATCTTTTTATCATTTCTAGGGCTAAACTAAGATAGTAAATGCTTCAGGTTAGCAAAGAAAACTACTTATTGTTAAAACGTGACATTTATTAAGGTATCATTTTACTACAAACTACATGTTTTTTTTATTTCACTGAAACTAAATGATAGCACATTCAGTCACAAACACACAAAGGAATTTTAAACAAAGGCTCAGGTAAACATTCCTGCTTTGCGCTCTATTTTGTTACCAGGCCGCACCCCGCGTCCCGCGCCACACCGACCGCGTCCCTTTTTTCACCTCGCTCGGTCCCGCCAGTCGTTCACTGCTTTCCCGCGTGCAACCACTACTCACGTTTACGTTTATTTGGATCTCTTATTTGACTACCTTCGCTTGGTTTCCCGGATTCTTGATTTGCCTTACGATTGACCTGTGCTTGTTTTATGAGTTGCTTAGTGATTTGGATTACTTTCAGCAATGAGTTATTCTCTCAGTCAATACGCAGAGATGCACTATTTCTACGGCGTTGTCCAAGGAAACAGCGCATTAGCGGCACGGCTTTATCGAGAGCAACTAGAGCGGCGAGGAGAAGTGTTAGAGCATTACCCGGGCTACAGGGTTTTTAATAAGACCCACGAAACCCTGATGGCTGGACGCGTTCCTGGGCGTAATCAACGTCGCGAGGGACTACCCAGAGTGGATCCAGAAAGAAGAGATGTAATCATTGAAGAAGTAGAAAGAGACCCTTCTACTAGTTCACGAGCGATTACGAGAAGGACTGGAATCCCAAGGACTTCAGTTTTAAGAATACTGAAATCAGGTGAGTGCATTTTATTATTTTGTAGACCTCTTTAAAAATCCCAACACATTGCTGCACTGCCATTTCAAATCACACTCATTTAATTTACTGTGAATTGTCGATGTCTAATGTGTTGTGTGTGCGTGTAAAAGAGAGATGTAGAGACCCTTAAACAAGCGCTCGTAATTCAAAAATAGGCGCTAGGACGCCACTCTAGCAAATACCAACTTTTAGTTTCACGTTCACGTGCTCTCTTGGTACGTACCTCTAGTATTGTGTACAATGACAACCTACAATAAAAATACTAATCTTTTTTTCCAGAGGGATATCACGCGTTTCATATCAGCGTTTTCAACAACTTAACGACGTAGACTATCCAAGGCGTGTTGCTTTCTGCCAAATAATGCTGGAAAGATCTGCGGAAGACCCGGATTTTTTTAACAAGATACTCTGGACGGATGAATTCCGGTTTGAAAGGACTGGCGTCTTTAACATTTACAATCATCATAGCTGGGCCATTGAAAACCCAAAAAAAGCAAGGCAGTCAAATTTTCAGAATAGATTTAGTATCAACATGTGGTCAGGAGTCATAAATGGAGAAATGGTTGGGCCCTTTGAATTGTCGTCTAGGTTGAACGGGTCCCAGTACCTGAATTTTCTACAAAATAATTTAAATGGTTTATTGTTTGAAGTTAATTTACAAACGAGGAGGGATATGATATTTCAAAATGACGGTGCTCCTTGCCATTTTGAAAGACAAATGAGGGAGCACCTCAACAGAACTTTCCCAGGAAGGTGGATTGGGCGTGCAGGGCCAATCGAATGGCCTGCACGCTCACCACATTTAAACCCTATAGATTTTTTTATTTGGGGATTCTACAAAGAGATGGTGTATGCTAGAAAAATTAATTCGGAAAATGAATTAAGGGAAAAATTGAGACAGTGCGCAGAAAAAATCAAAGAAAATACTAATGCTTTTCGAAGACTAAAAGCAAATTTTTAAGACGATATAGACTGTGTATCGAAGTTAATGGCCGCCATTTCGAAAATTTACTTTAAATAAATTTATCTTAAATTATTTACTACTTTTATTATAAATCTTGAAATCATTTGTCCAGAACGTAGTAAAATGATACCTTGTTTATAAATTTTAAACAATAAGTAAAGACACTTGATGTTATTTTTGCTAACCTGAAGCATTTACTATCTTAGTTTAGCCCTAGAAATGATAAAAAGATTTTTTAAATCAAATTAACTATTCAGGTAGTTTCCTGCCTGAGTGACTTCAGAAGTCTGTAACAGAAAAACTGGCCTATTAAGTGTCATTTTTTTAATGTTGTTATGAAAGATTAAGGTACTGCCAAGTTTTTAAAATTAATTAGAAAGTATGAAATCATTTATTACTATTTTTCATTTAATGTTGAAAATTCAAGCCCCACTCTCCTGACAGAAAATGTTTAAGGTTCGATTAAAATTATTGTATCTTCGGTGAATGTTAGGAAGCTAATTATTTTATGCATAATAGGGCAACTCATAAGGATCATGCTACAAACAAAAAAACTTGGAAAAATTTCACAATTACATTTTTTTAATGTTAAGCTGTTTAGGGTGAATATTTTCAAAAAAAAGGGTAAAAAAATCATAACTCGAAAACTACAAAAAATCGCGTAACATACATAGGGTATTTTTGGATACCCCTAGGTGTGATGAATCAAAAAAAAATTTATAACCTCACTGTTTGGACCACCCTAGTAAAAAATCATAACAAGGAAAACTTTATAGTATAATGATGAGCACACAGTTCGCCTGATGATAAGTGGATGATGTGGCCCATAAACATCTACATTTATCCTCAATTAAGAATCAAAACGCAGATGCGTTGTCACCCCTGAGGACTAAGATGGAATGCCTCGTTTCTAGTAAAAAAGGGTCTCCGGATCTCTACTCTCACCATACGAAACACAGCAGTATTGAACCGCTATTTTATGCTGGTAGTCTGTAAGAGGGTGGTCTTTCCCCGGTCTAGCTGACCCATTCGTACTACATAAACTATACAATTAATATACAATAATATAGCTGCAGCGTGGCTCTATCACGTATAAAACTAGAACTGAACACTTACCTTAACGTACAATCCTATTCCCGTACAAACTTATTTTTCTCGTTCTAAAGACAGAGTATATACGAGTATATGTATACAAGAATAGTCAAAATTATATTTTCTAAAAAAAAGTATTTATTTTGATTAATTAAAGCTTTTATTGAAAATTAATGATATCCACAACAATAATTAAAAACTTCAATAATTAAAATCTATTGACTCTAAATCAGTAATCAGTAGTTCTGCATACTCGTATCAACGATATGTTACAAACCAGTAAAATCCATTGTTATGCAGGTTTTTTTTATATAGAAGAGGGGGCTAACGAGCATGCCGCTCACCAGATGGTAAGTGATACCGCCACCCATGAACAGCTGCAACACCAGGGGACTTGCAGATGCATTGCCGGCCTTTTAAAAAGGAGTCGGCTCTTTTCTTGAAGGTGCCTAAGTTGTATCAGTCCGGAAAAATCTCTGATAGTAGTCGATTCCACAAGGAAGATAAGCAAGGAAGAAAATTTCTTCCAATCTGCTGGGCTCTCTCTTTGCGTCCAATTCGACTCTTGGTGACGAGGGTAAATGTCAACTAACACGTTTGAGACGAAGAATTAAACTATTATATATACTTCAAACTTATAAGCGTGATAAAGCGAAAGGATGTTTCAAATAAGGTGCCTCCAAAATTTAGAATAATATACCTCCTTCCTTGCAGGAGATCGTAAATACTTTATTTAGAAAGAAATGCGAAGTATGGTTACTTGAACAACAAAAGTTGGAGGCAGGTATGATATATAACCACAGACTTTATTCTTTTAATAATAATATAATAATAATAATAAAATATAAATATTTTAATAATAATATAATAATAATAATAAAAAAGGCGTAGGGAAGTGACGACCCCATCGCCCGCTGACGTAACAGTTATGTGACAAAACTACTACGTCGGCGCAGTCAGTCAGCGCCCTGCCAAGAGGTGTGAGCGCCGTGCCTAGGCAAAATTGTGGGTGCAAAGATCCGTTTGTGCATATGACCGAACCACGAAACGGTGCCGGGCTTGGGCGTCTCCCGTTATTTGGCGCCCATAAGTGGATGATGGTACAAAGAGGAACGCGCATAGGGCCGCTGCCTGGGGGTCGCCGGGGCGTGTCTGGAGCTGGCGCTGGACGCGGAAGCATGCGGGCCGCCAGCCGAGCGCGAGGAGCTGTACGATCACCTAGCAGCCCTCCGCATCCATCATCCCCACCCGAAGGCTTGGTGTCGGCTGGGTCTTCTCGGACTCAGCAAGCGGCACCCGCCGCTGGTGGAGCACGTCGCGTTGGTCACAAACAATGAACGCAAACGCACTGCGGGCGTACTTTAGGGCAAAAGGGGAAGAAACCGGATGTTTGGCATATCGGGCTCGCATGCATCGCTTTTTTGCAGAGCTGGAGCCATCTCTATCCGACACTGAGCAAAACCGTACGAGTTCGGTACATCCTGCGCTCCAACATATTTGGTGACGTCGAACTCGAACGACTACGACGTGAGGCTGTTCCCTCATCGGATGGAAATGCTACGGCTGGGAATGTGGCGCCACTAATTGCGCAGCAAACTGCAAATGTGGACGCTGCCGTCAATATTCCATTTGTGGTTGATTCAGACGATGATGGAATAGTCCCCCACGAACTAGAGAAAATGAGGAGCATATTGCAAGAGTCGATGCTGGAAACGCGCACCATGCCTCTCGAAAATCGACCGCGACTTCCCCGCATACCCCTTAGCAAGTGAAATCGGGCTGTCGTGCGGGCTCCTAACCCAATGCTGGTGACCTATTTGGAAGCCAGCCGGGACCTTTGCGAGACGGACTCAATTTTTTTTGGCGCCGCACTGGCAATATGCCGTATTATTGGCGCTAAACTTCCCATGGCTGGACGTGCTACTCAACAAGGTAGTGCCATCCCAGCCTGGAAAAAAAGAATCGAGGACCGTATCGCAAAGGCAAGGGCCCTTATCGGCAGACTGACAAGCTTCAGGTCGGGTAATAATAGATCGCGTTTGCTGGTACAAATATTAGTTTGTCCCAGCCTGATATCACGCAGAAACTAACGGAGCGCATAGATGACCTGAAGCAAAAAATCGCTGCTTGGGGGAAGCGGATTCGATGATTTAGCGAGAGGTCAAGGCGATTCAACCAGAATCGTCTCTTCCTGAGTGATCAGAAGAGGCTCTATAAATCAATGGAGCGACCAGAGGTATGTGGAACGGGCCCAGGATCGGATCAGGCTGACACTGTCGCATTTTGGCGTGGCCTGTGGTCAGAGCCCGTAAACCACAGCGAGGGCCCTTGGATGGAAGTTGTGGCGAGCCAAAGTGCAAGTGTTACGCCTATGGACCCCGTCACCATAACGCCTGAAGACGTGGCTGAGGCGGTCCGTAGGGCCCCGAACTGGAAAAGTCCGGGGCTCGACGGGCTGCATCATTACTGGCTGAAGGGGTTCGTAGTGTGTCACGCTGTGCTCGCCCGACAGTATCAAGAGGCTCTCGATCAGAAATTGCTCCCGAGCCTCTTAACTACTGGGATCACTCACTTGGTTCCCTAAGATCAGGATACCATAGACCCGAGCAAAAACCGGCCTATCACATGTCTACCCACTGTATATAAGACACTGACATCCATTTTGAGCGCGAGAATCAGTCGTAACCTGGAGCTAAATCAGGTGATGTCACGCGCTCAAAATGGATGTCGGGGCGGTGGTCGTGGAACCAAGGAACCACTCCTAATTGACGCGGTCATTGGCAAAGTGGTGAAACGCAACCGTCGGAATTTCTCCGCCGCCTGGATAGACTACAGAAAAGCATTCGAATTGGTGCCCCATACATGGCTAAAGAGGGTCCTCGAGCTGTACAAGATTGACTGTACAGTTAGAGACTTCCTCGAGCAGTGTATGGGGCAGTGGAGTACGATCCTCTGTTATCTGGGCGAGCGGATGATGGCTGCGGAGACCCATATAAGGATAAGAAGGGGTATCTTCCAGGGCGATTCTTCCTCTCTCTGAACCCTCTCAGTACCTTACTGGAAGGCTCCGGGAGAGGATTTCAGCTACGGAAGGGAGGAACAAAAGTGACCCACCTTTTCTATTTGGATGACCTTAAGTTATTCGCCTCCGGTCGCTCACATCTTATGGAATTGCTAAACATCACTTGCGAATTTAGCAATTCTATTGGAATGGAGCTGGGGACGGATAAGTGTGCGGTCCTTCATGTTGAAAGGGGAAGGGTTGCTAACTCTGAGGGCATAGATTTATCTATGCCCGTCAACTTAAAGACCCTTTCCGAGGCTGAAATATACCGATACCTGGGTATGTCACAGAACATCGGTATCGATGAGGCTGGTATGAAACAGTCAGTTTGCGACGTGTTTTATGCACGCTTGACCAAAGTGCTTAACATACTTTTGTCCGGTGTGAATAAGACACACGCATATAACGGTTGGGTCATGCCTGTCCTCATATATACCTTTGGCATACTCAGGTGGACTCAGACCGAACTTAACGCCCTGGATAGAAAAGTCCGCACTACCATGTCGTCCCATAGGATGCATCATCCGAGATCGTCGGTAATGAGGCTGTACTTGCCGCGAAAGTATGGTGGGCGTGGTTTACCCCTCTATCCTTAGCCCACGAGCAATGGCAGGACCCGGCAGTGCTTAGCATTTCCGACCGGGAGACCGTATGGAAAGAGAAGGAGCTCCACGGGAGGTACTACAGGGCTCTTCATTAGCCCTTCGTAGATACAGTCGCCTCCCTCAACTGGCTACGTTTCGGTGACCTCTTCGGGGAAACCGAGGGTTTTGTCTGTGCAATACAGGATCAGGATACAGGATCAAAAACCAACAACTATCGGAGATACATCCTAAAGGATATAATAAGCTATAAGGCACCGTGGACATCTGTCGAGCTTGTCGCCATCCCGGTGATTCACTTAGGCATGTCATCTCCGGTTGTTCGGCGCTTTCTAACTCTGAGTACTTGCACAGGCACAACCTAGTAGCCAGAATTCTACACCAGGAGCTCGCTCTGAAATACGGTCCCGCGAACCGGAAATTGCCGTATTACAAGTACTTGCCGGAAGCCGTGCTCGAAAATGACCGCGCCAAGCTCTACTGGGACCGGGCCATCATCACAGACAGGACTATTCTTACGAATGAGCCTGATATTGTGCTGATGGACCGCGCACAGTCAAGGATATTTTTGGTCGATATTACCATCCCGTATGACGAGAACCTCGTGAAAGCCGAAACAGATAAGCAATCAAAATATCTGGACCTGGCTCACGAGGTGACCGACATGTGGGGTGGTCTGCCGACCGAAATTATTCCTGTAGTCGTCTCTGCGTATGGGCTAATCCCAGTTAGCCTCTCTGGTCATCTGAGGCGACTGGGACTCCGTGACGCGGTCCGTCAAATGCAGAAGGCGGTGCTCCTTGATACTTCCCGCATCGTCCGCCGGTTTCTTTCCCTTGCCCCCTAACCCTTGGCCGTTTGGTCTCCCCTGCCGAGGGCTTCCATCTGGTTGGGCTATTATTTATTTATGTATTTTTGTATTTATTTTATTTTATTGATATTTATGTATATTTGTTTTTTCATTTTCATTTATAATTATATATTTATACATCCCAACCAGATGAGAAAACTATATAGATACCCCACACAATAATAAGGCGTAGGGAAGTGACGACCCCATCGCCCGCTGACGTAACGGCTATGTGACAAAACCGATACGTCAGCGCAGTCAGTCAGCACCTTGCCAAGAGGTGTTAGTGCCGTGCCTCGGCAAAAATTTAAAGTGCAAAGGCCCGCTTGTACACATGGCCTCACCATGAAACGGCGCCGGTTCTGGGCGTCTCCCGCTAAATGACGCTTTAAAAATGGATGATGAAATTAAATAGAACGCGCAAAGGGCCGCTGCCTGGAGGTCGCCAGGGCGCGTCTGGAGCTGGCGCTGCACGCGACAGCATGCGAACCGCCAGCAGAGCGCGAGGTGCTGCACGACCACCCAGCAGCAGGACCCCTTGCATCCATCATCCCCACCAGCTGGCTTGGTGTCGGCAGGGTCTTCGCGGGCCCAGCAATCGGCACACGCCTCTGGTGGAGTACGCCGCATGCGTTGGACAACCCAGATGAACAGCAACGCATTGCGGTCGTATTTTAGGGCGAAAGGGGGAAAAACTGGAGGTTTTGCGTATCGGGCAAGGATGCATCGACTTTTTGCTGAGCTGGAGCCATCTGTAACCATCACCGAGCAAAACCTGGCAGAACCGAGTTCGGTATATCTTGCACTCAAATACATTTGATGTTACCGAACTCGAACGGCTACGACGTGAGGCTGTTCCTTCATGGTGAAAATGCTGCGGCTGAGGATGCGGCGCCACAACTTGCTGAGCAAACGGCAAATGTGGATGCCGCCGTGAACACGCCAGTTGTGGTTGATTCAGACGATGATGGAACAGTCGCCCAGGAACTGGAACTAGAGCAAATGAGGAGTACATTGGAAGAGGCGATTGTGGAAACGCGCCGTACGCCTCTCGAAAATCGACCGTGACTTCCCCGCTTAGCCCTATGCAAGCGGAATCGGGCTGTCGTGAGGGCTCTGAGCCCAATGCTGGTGACCTATTTGGAAGCTAGCCGGGACCTTTGCGAGACGGACTCAATTCTTTTTGGCGCGGCACTGGCAGTCTGCCGTATTATAGGCGCCAAACTTTCCACGGCTGGACGCGCTACTGGACAAAATAGTGCTATCCCAGCCTGGAGAATAAGAATTGAAGAACATATAACAATACCAGGCCAAGGATTGTGCGCACCGTCAGGATGGCGTTTGCTGGGACAAATGTTAGTTTGTCCCAGCCGGATATATTGCAAAAACTGACGGAGCGCATAGACGACCCGAAGCAAAGAATCGCTGCTTGGGGAAAGCGGATTCGGCGACATACCGAGAAGTCGACACGGTTCAACCAGAATCGTCTCTTCCAGAGTGATCAGAAGAGGCTCTATAAATCATTGGAGCGACCAATAGTAAGTGGAACGGGCCCAGCACAAAATCAGGCCGACACGGTCGCATTCTGGCGCAGCCTGTGGTCAGAGCCCGTAAACCACAACGAGGGCCCTTGGACGGAAGTTGTGGCAAGTCAGTGTGCGGGTATTACGCCCATGGACCCCGTCATCATAACGCCGAATGAAGTAGCTGAAGCGGTCCGTAGGGCCCCGAACTGCCCCTCCGAACGGGTTCCCGCCTTGTCGTGGCGGGGGGGCTTAGTAGCTGTGGCTTGGTCTCCCACGGTGAACCAAGAGGAACACGCGTGGCTGGCCCGAGGTGAAGGGCCGGCCTGAGGTGGCCACTCCGAGTGGGCTTGGGGAGCCCACTTCGGATGTGTGCTGGTGGACTGCAGCGAGTGGGGACTCCGCACCCTCTACCCCTGCAGCCGAGGTGGAGTCGCGGAGGAAGAGGAGTGTTGGTATGGCGATGCGCCACTCGCCCTATCCTCCGCGACTCAAACGGGGCCGCATCGTTGATGCGGTGGTGATAGGGCTGCGGGGGGAGAGAGGATTGTCGGTATTGCGAGGCGCCGCTCTCCCTATCCTCTGCAGCCGAATCTTGGTTGGCGGCGGAGCCATAGACCAGATCCGCCGCTGGGGTCGGGAAGGTTAGTACTTCTAAGTGCTCGTTTTTCCTGGCCTCATGGCCTTCGCGCATCGGATGCGGGGGCGTCTGTTGCGCAGATGCAATTGGAGGCCGTGGAGGAAGGCGTGCCATGTGTTCTGGTGCGCCTTACTTGGGAAGGAGAACGGGGAGGAATATTCCTCTCCCAAGGAGGTGCTGCCATGGGGCGACAGTCGCTGGTAGGGCCGCGGAGGTGTGCGAAAGCGTTCCCGTAGCCCTGCCAATATGCGACGAAGGTGGAACACCATGGGGTTTTAGTCGGTGCGAGTCCGACATAACCCGTCCTTGCCCCCGCGAGGCGGGTATGCGTAGGCATTTCCCCATGTTAAAAAAAAAAGGGCCCCGAACTGGAGAAGTCCGGGGCTTGACGGGCTGCATCACAACTGGCTGAAGGGGTTCATGGTGTGCTCGCCCGACAGTTTCAAGAGGCTCTCAACCAGAAGTCGCTCCCAAGCCTCTTCACTACTGGGATCCCTCATTTGGTTCCTAAAGATCAGGGTGCCACAGACCCGAGCAAATACTGCACCATCACGTGTCTACCGACCATATACAAGACACTAACATCCATTTTGAGCGCAAGAATCGCTCGTCACCTGGATTCAAATCAGGTGATGTCGCGCGCTCAAAATGGATGTTGGGGCGGCGGTCGTGGAACCAAGGAACCACTCCTCATTGACGCGGTCATTGGTAAAGTGGTGAAACGCAACCGTCGGAACTTCTCCGCCGCCTGGATAGATTACAGAAAGGCATTTGACTCGGTGCCCCATACATGACTAAAGAGGGTCCTCGAGCTGTAAGAGATTGACTGTACATTTCGAGACTTCCTCGAGCAGTGTATGGGGCAGTGGAGAACGATCCTCTGTCATTTAGGCGAGCGGATGACGGCTGCGGCAAGCCGCATAAGGATAAGAAGGGGTATATTCCAGGGCGACTGTCTGAGTCCAATCTGGTTCTGCCTCTCTTTGAACCCTCTCAGTACTTTACTGGAGGGCTCCGGGAGGGGATTTCAGCTTCGGAAAGGAGGTACAAAAGTGACCCACCTTTTCTATATGGATGACCTCAAATTATTCGCCTCCAGTCGCTCCCATCTTATGGAATTGCTAAACATCACTTGCAATTCTATTGGAATGGAGCTGGGGACGGATAAGTGTGCGGTCCTTCATGTTGAAAGGGGAAGGGTTGCTAACTCTGAGGGCATAGACTTATCTATGCCCGTCAACTTAAGGGCCCTTTCCGAGGCTTAAACATACCGAAACCTGGGTATGTTACAGAACATCTGTATCGATGAGGCTGGTATGAAACAGTCAGTTTGCGACGTGTTTTATGCACGCTTGACCAAAGTGCTTAACAGCCTTTTGTCCGGTGTGAATAAGACACATGCATATAACGGTTGGATCATGCCTGTCCTCATGTATACCTTTGGCATACTCAGGTGGAGTCAGACTGAACTTAACGCCCTGGATAGAAAAGTCCGCACTACAATGACGTCCCATAAGGTGCATCATCCGAGATCGTCGGTAATGAGGCTGTACTTGCCGCGAAAGCATGGTGGGCGTGGCTTCCTGAGTGCGCTCATCATGCATAATCGCGAAGTCTGCAGCTACCGTCATTACTTCCTGGCGAGATCGGATGATCCATTCTATAATGACGTCATTTCTAGTGATAAAGGACTTACCCCTCTATCCTTAGCCAACGAGCAATGGCAAGACCCGGCAGTACAGAGCATTTCCGACAGGGAGACCGTATGGAAGGAGAAGGAGCTCCACGGGAGGTACTACAGGGCTCTGCATGAGCCTCACGTAGATACAGCCGCCTCCCTCAACTTGCTACGTTTCGGTGACCTCTTCGGGGAAACCGAGGATTTTGTCTGTGCAATACAGGATCAGGTTATTAAGACCAACAACTATCGGTGATACATCTTAAAGGATGGCACTGTCGACGTCTGTCGAGCTTGTCGCCATCCCGGGGAGTCACTTAGGCATGATATCTCTGGTTGTTCGGCGCTTTCTAACTCTGAGTACTTGCACAGGCACAACCTAGTAGCCAGAATATTACACCAGGAGCTCGCTCTGATATACGGTCTCGCGGACCGGAAATTGCCGTATTACAAGTACTTGCCGGAAGCCGTGCTCGAAAATGACCGCGCCAGGCTCTACTGGGACCGGGCCATCATCACAGACAGGAATATTCTTGCAAATAAGCCTGATATTGTGCTGATGGACCGGGCACAGTCAAGGATATTTTTGATCGACATTACCATTCCGTATGACGAGAAACTCGTGAAAGCCGAAACAGAGAAACGAACAAAATATCTGGACCTGGCTCACGAGGTGACCGACATGTGGAGTGGTATGCCGACTGAAATTATTCCTGTAGTCGCCTCTGCGAATAGGCTAATCCCAGTCAGCCTCTCGGGTCATCTGAGGCGACTGGGACTCCGTGACGGACCGCTCCGGGCTCAAATGCTGAAGGGCGGTGCTCCTCGATACCGCCCGCATCGTCCGCCGGTTTCTTTCCCTTTCCCCCTAACCCTCGGCCGTTTGGTCTCCCCTGCCGAGGGCTCCCATCTGGTTGGATCTTATTTATTTATGTAGTTTTTGTATTTATTTTATTTTATTGATATTTATGTATATTTATCTTTTCATTTTAATTTATAATTATATATTTATAGAACCTAAACAGGTGAGAAAATTGTATAGATACCCCAATAATAATAATAACATAATAGTGATGTTCTTTAATAGTGAGGATCTTGATTATTACAGTAGTTCATGATTCCGCTTAAATTTTCAAAAAATCTTTGAGCTACTTATTTATAGTAATAACTTGATATCTTCTTTTTTTGTGTAATACCGTTGAGAGTCGATGAAGTTACTAGTGGGTCATAGGCGACTGTCTCCTTTTACCGAAATTTACATAGCATATGTGGATAAATATTTTAGTCTATTTAAATTCAATTTTTTTTCAAATTCAAATTTATTTGTTGCTAGAATGTAGTACATAATTATATGATGTTATTAGTTATTAACGAGATCTTACATTCTACCATGAAAATGGCGTGCAATATTTTACAGTAAATAAAAAAATATTAATAAAATTGAGTGAAGTAACTTATTGAAGAAAATGAATTATGTACCTATTCAAAAATATTTTAGCGTCAAGTTGTTAGATGACAATAAATATTACATGTCAAAATTTTTAATAAAATGTAGGTAAATGTTTATATATAAATGTCAAAAATCTAAAAAGTTAAAGATTAATGAAAAATTAATAAATATTAATGTCAAAAATTCTGTCAAAAAAGATCAGTTTTTTTCGTATTCCATTATTAAAACAGGAGATGATTTTTATTTTCAGATGAATACATAGAACAACATGTTCGGCTTCAATTTTTTTATCAATAGCTAATGGCGTAATAGAAGAAAAATGTCAGATAATTATTTATATTATAAAATAGATTAAAATGTCAATGCTTAGTGAAATTACAGTGGTTCATTCGTTAAATTTACAATCTAGAAATTCTTTGACGCTATAAAACGTAATTTCTGCAAGAAAATTATTGAGGCTTTTTTTAAATCTTGGTAAATAAAGTGCTTTAATATGCTGAGGAATGTTGTTATATATTTTGATACACATATATAGACAGCTTTTATTATACTTAGATAGTCTAGGAAGTGTGTCGATTACGAACGATACCTTTTGCTTTAGTAAACAGATGGTTGTGTTGTTTAACGAACAAATTTCGTATATGTAGAGCGAGGGAAATGTCAATAACTTAAGGTTTTTGGAATAAAAGTTTACATGAATCAAATGGCGCTTTAAGAGTCAATGCTCGTAGACATTTTTTTGAGTGATAAAGGCTTTGTTTAATTGAGTACCATTTC